CTCTCTCTCTCTCTATCCCTCTGCTTATCTATATCTTTCCCATTTGTGAAGAAACTTCGTTATCAGGTCCAATCAGACCATAGGCCTTTTTCACATATTGAAGACGTTCAAGGATTACCTTTGACGACTTCCCTGCCATCTCCTCGCTTGGAATCTTTCCCATTTCACTTTTAGCACATTCTAAAAGTGACTGTTGGGCTTCATTGCGTACATTGAGAACAAGACAGGCCCACAAAGCTTGCACCAATGTTACACCATCCAACGCATCACGATGAGAAGATAAGAGTTGTGTACAGATGTGAACAAGTTCATCGCTTCTCTCTTGCACAGCAGCGAAACTGGCAAGAACACCTGCCGCATCTGCCGGACTAACATATCCACCCTGCTTCACAATGGATACAAAGCGGGATGCAAGCAAGGGAAATAATTCACCGTCAAAAAGATCAAAACAACCAAGTGCATTCAATGTGAGATGAATCTCATCAGCACGAAAATCAGTTGCCACTTTACATGCACGTTCTGCAAGTGCACCGAAAAGATCTTCCGCTAACACATTAGCACGGCAAAAAGCATCACATGTCTTGGCAATAGATGTAGGATCAAACGTATTCCCAACTGCTGCTATACGCTCACCACAAGCAGTAAAAAGTGGAGATGAGGCTCTTCCTGCCTTTACCAGGCAACCAACAAGGGACGCCATAAGGGGTGCTGGCAGTTCAGGTAATTCTTTTATCAACCGCTGCTCCAAAACTGTAAATAATTCTTCATCCACAAATCCAACTTCAGCGAATGCGTCAAGAATTGTTACTGGTACCAATGGAGGTCCTTGTGAAGACTGTCTTACAGCTTGATCTCGTAAAACGAGAAAAAGATCTCTGTGAAAAAATTTAACACGAGCCAAAGCATGTGCTACATTGGCTATGTGTGCAATAAAAGTCCGAGGGTCTTTCATAACAACAGCTGCCTGATTACATAGGGCTTGATAAAGCTCCTCATGTTGAACTTGGGCACGGCCGTATGCATTTATAAGTACAGCACAAGAAACAGTATCTACTGTTGGAGCTCGTTTAATAAGAAAGCGAATATACGTAAATAAAACTTCATAAAGATAGGGTGAACGTAATACTAGGCAAGAGTGAACAATTCTTGCTAGAGACGGTACATCCATTACCTCTACTGCTCCAGGTGAAAGAGAGCGTTCTACTATGGCAGCAAATGGTTGACCTTTGTTAGGAGAAATTCGCAGTTGTGTAGCAGCGTGACATACTGTAGAAGCTACAGCAGGTGTCCATGCTGTTTTGATATCATCAAGAGTTTCGGATTCAAATAATTGACGTCCATGCAAGAGAAGTTCCTGTTTTCGCTCAGACGCCCCTAACTGTTGGTGTACCTTTTCAACAGAAGAAACAAATGATTCTGTGGACATGGATCGTATCCAAACGGCATGCCGTACTGCTGCACTCGTTAAACCACGACGCCACATGATTTCCCTTTTACTGTGGCAGCGTACCCGCAAAGAAACAAATTACACCACCTTATTAATAGTAGTAATAATTGAGAATAAAAACATGATACAAAAACAAAAAATAAAAATAACAAAAAAAAAAAAAAAGAATTAGATCCAAATAATCACTTTCAAAAACCATAAATACATATACACATACATACAAACGCAAACCCATACATGGGAACTCTCATACACTGTCATTCATGGTACAGTCGCTCTATAAAGGCGAAACAAAGAACAATAATAACAATAATAACAGTGGTAATAATAATAATAATAATAATAATAATAATAATAATAATAATAATAATAGTCAATAGAAATACACTCTATTCAGCTGTTAGGAAAGTAAACAGCAACAAGAAGAATAACAATAACAATAACAATAACAACAAAATAAAAGTACAGTCAAGACGTTAGTGCGAAATGCCCAATACACGTCTTTTGAAGAAGAAAGTCACACGTATATTGGTTTTCTTCCTTCTTTCATTCAGCCATAATATATCCGTTAGCTTTCATTCATTCTTTCTTTCTCCCTTTCCTTCTTTTCTTTTCTTTTTTTATTATCCACTCCTTTCTTTCTTTCTTTCTTTTTGTATTCGCTCACTCACATCTCCGATATCATGTGTCGTTCATTATATGATACCTACCCGTTTTAAGTACTCTCTAGTCTCGTAACTTCCATAACCATCACTCTGTGAGTCATATCCAACAACAGATGTATTTGTCTCACCGTATTCCTCATTACCAACACGATCTCGTTGACTACTTCCAGTATTCCAGTCCTTGTTATGCTCTGACTTCTCATTTTTAGTTACAGTAGAAGTCTCAAGATTAGATTGAGAACGTTGTGGGTGTTCCACCTTTCTATTGTCCAGTACGATACGTTGCTGTCGATGAGTATGAGGACCTACATTCCTAGAAGAAGACATATTCTGCGATTCTTGTTCAGTATGGAAAGATGATGATAATGAAGGATGAAGCGTAGGTCTAATAGAGGGTTTGGAGTCTTCTAATGATGCGCTAATGTTTGCACTTGCACTATAGCCTGTACCAGCCGAAACAGAACCTACAGCTGATCGGTTTGGTGTTGGTAATTTACCCCGCAAAGAGGATAGAAGTGGATTTTCCCCCCGGCTTCCATGAATGACACTACTGTGACGCGATCCCGCCGCTGGATCCCACGGGGCCGCGGAGTCCATAGAGTGATTCATGAGACTATGACGAGAGGCATCGGAATCCTCGCGGGGTGGGGTGCAGGAGCGTGATACTTCTTTTACTTGAGATGCATTCTCCAAATGATGATCTGTAGTGCTCTCAGGGTTACGCTGGTCACTTCTCGTTTCAAATGGAGTGGAATTCACTGTATTTCTCGTTTGATGAACTGAAGTGTTTGTTTGCACTGGGGCAGATGTAGTCGTAGTGGCATTTGTGGAAGGACTCGGATCATTTACACTACTACTACTACCGTACACTGGCACCGCAACGGAAGGTGTGGGGAGTCCAGTCATGGTCATATTCAACTGTTGTATCGATAATGCGATGGACTGCAGCTGAAACTGCATGGCCTGTTGTTGTTGGTAGAGTAGATGCAGCATGAGACGATCCTCCTGTGTGAAGGTGGCGCCGCCCAATGTACTTTCATTAGGTCGTTCTGCAGAGTGAAATAAACTGCGCGGACCAAATGCGGTCATGGGAGATGTGAAGAGATTTGGTACCCCAGTCGAAAAGGTAGTCGACATCTCAGAGAAAGAGAATAAAGAAACAAAACAAACAGAGGGATCTATTTGGCCAATATACTATCGGGGAAGCGCAACAGGGTCCCTGGAAACAATGAATAATAATAATATTTTTTTTAAAAAAAAGATAAAAGAATGAGAAAGGAAGATTCATATGAATGGAAATTGCTGAAGGAAGCAAATAAAGAGAGAGACACATTATTTTTCTTTTTAAATAAAAAAAGAAAATAATAATAATAATAATAATAATAATAATAATAATAATAATAATAATAATAATAATAATAATAATAATTGTATGAAAAGGATATCATCGCTAATTCTCACCCATATTCTCTATCCCTTTCTTTTTCTCACTCCTTCACTCGCTCATTTTTTTTTTTCCTCAATTTCTCCACTTCATATCATCCTTTTTTTTTTTTTTTTTTTTTTTTTTTTTTTAATAGCAGTCATATGCAGAGATAATTGAGAACAACGTAGGCCAAGCAAAAACGATTAATAATAATCATAATAGTAATAATAAAATATCAAGTAGGAATAGCAATAACGGCAGAAAGGGCTGATGCAAGAAAAAGTTGGTGCAACGATGGCATATAAAGCAAAGATTTAAAAAAAAAAAAAAAGAGACATAGCAAAGAGAATGCACGAGAATCATCAGAAGAAAGAAAAAAAAAAAACTCAACAAAGGTTATGTGTGTATATGTATGTGTGTATGTACTCCTCTCATAAACAGTTTCATGACGGTAGTGAATGAATAAAATCCTTTGAATCAATCATACTGGTAGAGAGCAGTGTAACACGTGCTTCAATTTTCTCTGTATATGGCTCATCCGAAACACCACTTCCAGAGACATCACCACCTCCAACTAATCGTGTCATATTTTTTCCTAAATTCATTAATGATTCCACATTATTTTGAACCTGACCTTGATTAATTTGATATAAAAGCATAGCTTCAGAATACGTTACACCTCCGACCATCACAACGATAATATCTTTCGCACGAATTGTGGGTACTGTAGAGGTTGGAATAGGAGAATTGGACACTTCCTGAACAGGATAGTTTTGTTCTGAGAGAGTACCATTATATACTCGATTAATAAGTTTCCTCATAAGAGGAACGTGTTGAGTTAAAACGTTTTGAACATCTTTTCCAAACTGTCCAACAGCTTTGGCAACAACTTTTAACATATGTCCTGTGGAGGAACGAAACAATTCATGCATTCGCTTATCCGCTCCTCCATACTCCAATACACGATCAATTAAAGATATTCGTTCAGGTGGACAATTACGTTTTCCCAGTACATCCCTGAGCTGTGGAATAATATTTCCACTTGTTTTCTCATATCGAAGTGCATAGAGCATTACCATGCGTAGGGCATCTTCAATATCTGTCTTTGGATCTTGTACAATTTCCATCATTTGTCTAGAATGTTCCGCTACATTATTAGAAGCCAACATTTCCTGTTCTAAAACGGATAAACGAGTCAAATTACGTCCATTTACTTCAGTTACCAATTGACTTGCAATAGCACAGTGTCGTGTCACCTGCATAGATTGTTTTCGTGCTTCTGGAAATCGATTCATAAAATTTTTGATTTCATCAAGGGAAACGTTATTCCTATCAAAATTATTAAGTGCTTTATACGCCTTTACCAACTCACTTACGGCAATACATACTTGACCATAATCATTATAACGATGTTGCGCATAAAAAGGATCCGTATGTGCAGTGAGGACATGTACACATTCATCTGGTTTGGCGTCAGGGTCATCTACGGTGACTTCATTACCACGTTGAAATCCAATGATTTCATGTATCATGGCTTCATATGTCCATGGAGTTACTAAGGCCGTAACGGGATCGTCCATTCTATCCAAAATAACCAAAACAGAATCCTTCGCTTTAAGATCAGGAAAAGATTGATGAACTGTCTTCATTTTTTCAGCCAGAAGTTTTGCCAATTTTTCTGTAACTTTGTTTTGCCCACGATAACGAATAGCGGGACGGCGGTTTGTCATAAGCATTAAACTTACAATGCTCTCTGTCATGCGTTCAAAAGAGGCAGTATCCCATTGTGTGTATGTAATGGGATTTACAACTGGACTAACAACCGAACGCAAAGATGCAGGTTTTAATTGTGTAATAGTAACATACTCTGTTAAGGGCATAGAGTCCAAGTAAACTTCATTAATAGAACTCACAAGATTTAAGATATCCGCATTTGCAAGTGATTGCACAATATTTGACTCCAATAAGTGTGAAAAATGAAGTGAGTAGGAGGCAAAATTTCCTTCTGCTAATACTTGATACACAGAAGCTAAAGAAGTTGGTGTGGCTCGACAAAATATAATACACCGAAAGTGTTTCATTGGATAATAATCTCTGTTACTTAACATATCCACAAGTACCACGTTGTGTTGAAGAAGTTGATGTTGTGAGTATACCACTGATAAGATATTACGTGTCGCATCATCGCAAAGGAGAACTTTAAGACCATCCTGTTCATCAAGAATGCGGTCAATGTACGCCCATGCTTGTTCAATGCAATTCAAACGTGCTCGCGCAGGTTTGGACATTGGTTTTAAAAAGTGAAGATACAGACACACACTAAACTAGGAATAACTACCAGACTGATTAAAGGGGGAAAAACAATCAAATAAAATTTAGAGTTAAACATAAAGAAACACAAAAAATTAAATATATATACATACAAAAATTTTATTATAAAAGAAAAGAAAAAAACCAAGAATTATTATATTTAACACATTCAAGTAAGAAAAAAAAAAAAAAAACGAAAAGGAAACATAATTTATTCTGCTTATCAGATCAAATGTTTTAATTAAGTAGTATACACGCAAACACTTGAAAAACACAAATAGAGTACCTGCATTGTCACTCAGTTCTCAATTTCTTGATAGTCTGGGCAGCTGAATTTTCATCGTCCTGTGCTAAGACGTTATTCGCCACTTTACTATCTACAGTAGTATCAACACCAAGAGAATTACAATGATCCTCAGGAATAGATGAAACCAACTCCATACCGGATACACTACGGAACATTTCTAGTTCCTCAACGGGTATATCAAATATTTTTGCAATGTCTTCGTAGCAGTTTCCATTTTGCTGAACATCTTTCATCAAATGCTTCAGTGAAGTAATACAAGGTATACTTCGTGTGAGATGATACTTGACAAAACCAAAAGGTGTTCGGTACTTCACATAATACCGTATCAATTCCCTGTATAAATCCATCCAAGATGCGGAATCTAATGGAGTTTCAGAAAGTTCACCTGTAGAAACATTATATTCCTTCATAGGATGTTTCAAAGAAAAGACCGACATATCCCACATTGCGTGTCGTGCTATCATTACAGCATCAAAACCAAACTGTATCATCTTCTGTGCACCATCTTCACGGGATATAACAGATCCATTAAGAACAAAACACATTTCCTTCAATAAAGGATGACTACGAAGTAACTTGACAGTTGCGGCAGCTCGATCATAGTATGGAGGTGTGTCAGATGATTGATCTACCGTGCGGGCATGAAGAGTAATAGCATGAACACGCTTAGGACCCACTCGCTCCATAATATCAATGAGCATCTGCGCCGTTTCTTCTGCTGTTTCCCGCAGTCGTATCTTAAAACTCAACGCCACACGACTCCCGCGGGCGGCCACGCGGTCGTCTGCATTCACTGTTGAGTCTATCGCCACGAGAATAGCCGCCGCCCGCTCTGCATCTCGCATCAATGCAGCGCCCATCCCGTTCTCCACACTGAACTTCTTTGGACATCCCATGTTCACATCAATTCCATCAACATGCTCGCATAACAGACACGCCGCCTGTGCACCTATAGAAGGATTCGACACCCCCAACTGCACCACAACAAGGGGACGGTCCTTCGTGTGGTCTGCGCCCAATCGCTGCAGTGTGCTGAACACAACACTTCGCTTCCATCCTTTCTTAAAAGGTTCATATGTTACAAACTCGACGACTGGGCCCACACTCTCATCATATACGCGTATCTCACGACGGCAGCGTACCAACTTGGCCGCCACAGTTTCTTCAGAGAAGACAACATCAGCTCCCTGCGCAGCGCAAAATACACGGAATCCCAAGTTACAAATGCGGACCATCGGGGCAAGAATGGTCTTCCCTTGATAAAGTGACATACTCACTCACACCTCCAAGGAGTCATATATGTATATATAGATAGAAAGAAAAAAAAAAAGAAGGAGAAACAGAAAAGCCAACAAAAAAAACAATGGAGTTGTTAAAATAGAATTATTTTTTTTTTTCACATTTTGGAATTAAAAAAAAAAAAAAACATATCCAAACAATCAGTAAATTGTTTCACAGGAAATTAATAAACACCCTTAAGGAACAAAAAAAAAAACCCTTCAGGCTAAACTCCCTAGCTCGACCTTAACTACTAACACCAGCTGTTTTTTTTTCTTTTTTGTTTCTTTAATTCTACTAATGAAAGGCCAAGCATTTTTCTTTTTACGCAAACCTTTCTGCTATAACTCCAATACCATACACTAAACAACCTTTGTAACCACAGACTAATAAATTCTAATACGCCTACTCAGCATTCAGGTAAACTGCAAACTCATGGAAGTCACGATCAAACTCAGCCTCGATTTCAGCAAACGTGTACGCCGGACCCTCATCTGCAGCAGGTTCATCTGTCCAGTCAGGGTGCATCACCAACCATGGACGGTTGTGAATGTAAAACCACTGTTGGCACATTGGACACTTATTCTTTGTGTAACCCTTCATCATCATATAATAGTTGGATTGTGGCACGTGAGGTGCGCAGTTACCAAAACACAGTACAATTTGATGATCACCAGGATTACCCACAGCTTCAATACGAATAGGACGTTCTTCGCTACCAATTGGTGGTTCATACAGATGGTTAACGGCAACATACGGTCGCTCATTCCACTCTTCACGATCGTGCTCCTCGAGAATAAGAGTGTCATCGGCCTCAAAGAAATGCCACACCTTAGCAGGCTCTTGCCAGTAAAGACGTCCGGCACCCGTCACCACATCATCATAGACAGGAAGCGCCTGATCCATCAATTTACTCATGAAGGGGCTCTTGCGCCATGCATCAGGTGGTTGCTGAAGCTCATTCAGGTTGTGTGGCTGTACAGGGTATGGTTTATCCTGATATGGAGTGGGTCCTGTGCCACCTCCTGAAAACAGGAGACGAGAAGCCGCCAAAAAGGAAAGAGGAGTCTTGCGCAACATGTCTATAAAATATTACTCTTTCTTTTGTACAGGAAGATAATGGTATGTATTTTATTATTAAAAAGAAAAAAAAACAGGATAATAATGTTTTTTTTTTTTTTCAGTTATTTGATTCGGTAAGAAATAAAAATAGAAAAGAGTAAGGAAGACACATGTTAAGATTACAGACATCATGACACGTTCACAGTAACAGTTACCAGATAAAATCTTTCAATCATATTGATACTAATTCACCAAGAAGGTGGGGGAAAAATATATCTTTTTGTTTTTTTCTTCTATTTCTCCTTCTTGTATTCAAGTACAACAACACGTGAGAATCATGCGACTGCAAAAGAAGCCACCGGAGGGGAGGAGTCAAAGAAAAGAGCATGCAATCAATTGCCATTGAAAAGACTGCAAAAAAAAAAAAATGGAAATAGAGGGAACGAAAAACCAACAAAAAAAAAATCCTCAACGCAAAAAAAAAAGGATTTTAACGTACATTATTTTGTGCTGACGAACACCAAATTACAAGTTCAAATAAATGAATAAGGAAAATTTTTTCAAAATAAAAATAGGACTTTATACGCAAAGGAAAAAACGCCCACAAATACAGAATATATATATATATATATATATATATATATATATATATATGGGAATATATAGAATAGTAGATATATGCACACTTTTTAGTGGTCTAACAATGATGTCGCATTCTTTCCTATAGAGACATGCCTCTATTAAGCTTCTTCGTTTTCTTTTTTTTTTTTTGATTTGTGACTCCCAGCAAAAAAAAAAATCTATTAAAACAGATATCACAGAGAGATTGGCCTAATCTAGGCCCTACCAAAGGCCTGCAGCATACCCAAACTGGTTGTGTTATCATTAATAATTTTGGGTTTCCCTCCTCCGGCACTTCCATAACCAGAGAAACGTTCTCCACCACCACCAAAGGCACTCCCATAAGTCCGTCTTGCTGGAGTTTGTCTCATCACAGGTTGTGCTCTCGGAATACTTGTTTCAATTGGTTCTCTTGTACGTTGTTCCCGCATTCGCATTCCCTTTTGATGTCTTGCCACAGCGGGTGGTAGACGCTGTTGGTTTACTGGATAAGCCGCCGGAGCCTTTACGGTAGGCTCTCCCCACATTGCCTGACTAGAATTACGTGCTCTACGGGCAGCCCGCATCGCCTCAATAAATTCACGGTGCTGTTCACGCCAGTGTGTTCGAGGAATACCGCTGGAAATTTGTGAACCACCAGAAGTATGTTTCATATTTTTTTTCTTTTTACTGTACGACATTTTAAATGAATCAATTCCTCCATCATTTTCAACGGCACGTTGTTTACTACTGTCGAAGACTTTTCGTTTCATGGTGCCTTTACACACACTTTCATGATATGCGATGCGATCAAAAAGAAATTTTCTTCCACAATGAGAACAAGGGTGTAAATTTGCATTATCTCCTGAATAATCTGGTATATCATTGATATTGGATTGTTGACGTAGTGATCTTGCCCCAATCACACCGTTGCCACATGCAGACTCTGTCATTAAATGTTTTCCACCTTGGTAAGGTTCAGGGTTTAAACTCGGCATAACTGGCATAGGTCCAATAGGATTTAGCCTCCACCGTTTTATCGCTTTTTCGTAACATTGTGGAATATGAATGTTGAGAGACGCTGTGCCAAATCCCTGTTTACACAAGGGACAGGTTCGAAAACGCGGAGGCATTCTGTGTTTGTGTGTATGTGTGTGTAAATTTGCAATGTAATCGGATTTTGGTTTAATTTATTTTATATATAATATAATATATATATATACGTATATATTCACTGAACTTACACTGTTTCTGACGTTCTTTAGTATAGGGGTTCGCATAAAGAAAAGGGAAAAAAATAACTTGAACAAGAAGATGAAATTGTTTTTTTTCTTTTTTTTTAAGACACAATCTTAGAGAAAAAAAAAAAAAAACATAAAACGTTCCCTTCCCTCAGAGGGTGAAGGAACAAGTAACTAGAAATAGAGAAAGCAATTATTACCCTATTTCACACAGACACACATAAAGGAAAATATTCACCATATATATATATATATACATATATATATATATATATATATATATATATATATAAGAGGGCGTAAGATCTTCTATTAGTATTATACCAAAAAAAAAAAAAAATTGTATCTGTTAAAGACGTCCAACATAGACCAAAAAAGCATCTGATATCACGATGCCTTTCTCACAATAACCACGAAATCACATCTTTGGCACGTAAGCATCACATACCAAGTTAAAGAGAACCAATTGACGTTATGACAGAACTCCATAATTCAACAATGCAGAGAGAATATGATACAGGTGCTAGACTCCACAGCCTAATTCCAGTCACTCAAAAAAAAAAGAATATGAGAAACTACTAAAACCTGAACGTAAATCCCGGTTGACGAAAACCTGATTGGGCATCAGAAAAACCAAATCCCCCTTGATGTGCACCACGAGGGAATGAAAAACCACCAAATCCGCCTCCAAACATCATATTCATCATTTCTGCATCAAAGTTTGAAAACTGAGCCTCACTAGCCCCTTCAACTGCGTTGTCAAGTTGTCCATTGTCATACATACGTTTTTTCTTTGGATCTGAAAGAATAGAAAAGGCTTCTCCAACTTCTTTAAACATTTTTTCAGCATGAAGTCTTTCTTCTTCACTCGCGTTCGCCCACTTGTCAGGATGCCATTGTAAGCATGCTTTTTTGTATGCACGTTTAATAGAAGATTCATCTCCTTCATTAGGTGAAAGACCAAGTATTTTATAATAATCTTTTCGCTTCGCTCTCTTAGCGTTTGCCTTAATACGATTAAGTTCTCTACTGTAAGAATCATCCATTTCAGCTGCTCTTTGAATGTCTCTTACAGCATCGTCATAGTTTTCAAGTGCCTCTTGTATGCGTCCTCGGCGTGCGTAAAGTTTAGCACTATCCATACCATTTGCAATAGCAAAATCACAGTCTAATAAGGCACTTGAGTATTCTTTTAATTCCATCTTGGCAGCAGCCTGGTTTCCTCTTAAGGTAGCCACCATTCTCAAATTAGAAGGATCCATGTCAATGGCCGCAGCGTATGCTTCAATGGCATCCTTATATCGTTTTTCTTTAAAAGCACTGTTACCATTTTCCTTTTGTGATTCAATAACACGTATTTTTTTAAGTAACGCACTAATCTTTAAATTATCTGGATCAAGTCCCAATGTCTGCCGAAGAATCGTCTGTGCAGTTTTAAATCCGTCCTGACCACGGTAATAACTTGCTAACGCGCGCACATACAAGTATGCGGGGTCACTTTGGTGTGTCAGTGCGAATGGCATGAGGGCACGTGTGACTTCATCCGGGTGCCGTGGGGCGCGCGCCTCTGCTAGAAGAAACGCCACGGGGGCGCACTCCGGGAAGGCGTGGGCGGTGGGGCCGAGTGCCTGCGCGGCGGCGTCGGGCTGCCGCTCGCTGAGGAGGCGGCGGGCGGTTTCTGTGGCCTTCGCGGCGGCGACCGCCCCGTCGTGAAGTTCGCGGAGGTGGCGGATGTCCTCCGTGGGGGCACTAGCGGCCTCAAGGGCCTTGACGCCCGCCAACAGCCGCCGGGCAGCCTCGTCGAAGCGGCCAAGATTGCAGAGGGCGTTGTGGAGGCGGAAGTACGCCTTTGCAAATGTCGGGTCGATGGCAATGGCCGCCTCCGCATCACGCGCAGCCTCTGAAAAGGAACGTTTCTTTATGTAAGCCGCACTACGATTGGAAAAGAGCGCAACCTCCTGTGGATTGACCTCAATAGCCTTGGTGTAGAGATCAATGGCAGCGTCAAAATCACCATTCTTAAAGGCCTTGTTTCCCTCCTCACGAAGCTCACTCCCCTGAAGAGTGCTTTCACTTTCTTCGTTTTGCACAGCTTTACTCATTCGTCAGAAAAATGAGTTTGGTTCCGTGTTTTTTTTTCCTAATTAATTTGCTGACGTATTCTCCTTTATACTGGCCTAAAGCTTATATATATAATATATATACACCTCTTTTAAGTGATTATTGAACACTGATGCTACAGCTACGTGTTACCGTGGGGAAGGCACCCAAAAGAAAGGCACAAAAAAAAAAGGAAGCTTGCTGAGACACATATCACATATGTAAAAGAAAAAGAAAAAAAAAGGAAGAGAAAAAGATGGATATATTAAAATAGATTGGCATTGTTTACCATTTCCTCAATTACCCCACCATATTAACACAATGGTACCCATGTAAATTTGTCTTTAAGAGAAGCAAAGTATAACATCCAATCAAAAGGTAGAGTGAACAAGTACATAATATCACAAGCATACAACAATTCACATCACCTAACCATTTTTTTTTTTTTTTCTTGTTGTTACGCAGTGTAAGAAACACAGCCATTAAACTTTTATTTCAGCAGTTGTACATGACCGCTTTACTGTGTTCTCCCACTCTTTTTCTTTATTTCTCTTTCGCTGCTCCTCCAAAGCTTTTTACATATCATTCCTCTCCAGTTACGATGGAAGGAGGAAACTCTCTCCACTCCTCTCTCCTATGTAGTCCATCACCATGGATACGAAGGAACATATCTGAAATGACAAAAAAAAAACGCCTCCACATTACAGGTAGCAGTAATGACTACACCTGTCTAAGGATAATGCGGACAAGTTTTTTCCTCTTTTCAACACCAATACACATATTTCACTTCTTAATCTTACTGTAGATTAAAAAAAAAAAAACTATCGGTGGATACACAAAACCTCCTTCCCACTCAAAAGAGGGATATGGAAGAAGCCTCGGACAACTTCGGATGTGCACGAAGCTTACTGGAACAGAGGTACAGAAGAGAAGATAAAATAGGCAATTAAAAAAAAAAAAAAAAAAGATATAGATATAGATATAGATATATATACCGATGTCTTACTCTCTCAACGCTTCGTAACCGTATAACCACCTTTATATAAAATATCTCACTGCACAAATACGTGGTAGAATCATCATCAATTATACGAATCGATATTATCTCGTGGTAGTAAAAAAAAGGTCATGTAATATATCTTTTTTGGCTCGAACGACTACATCACAACATAAGTCATTGACTGCAAAAGAAACCCCAAAAGTCATAGCACCAATTGACCATCCAAAAGGCATTCTTCTGTATAAAGAAGCATAAAAACCAGGCTTCATAAATATATTTTTAAGATCTCCAAGCTTCGAATAGACAATTTGTTCAACTTGTCTTCGGCGTTTGGCCACATTAAGGGGATATGTAACGACTTGACCAGCAAGTCCGGCAAACATACCTGCGAAAAGACGTTCAGTAAAGGAATCACAGTGATATTTTTCTTTTATATATTCGTATGTTGCGAAACCTATACCTGCAAAAGGACCTATACCCATAATTGCAAGAGGACAACCTTTCCATAGAGAACGTACTCCTTTCTCCTTTGCCATATCACGAAGTACCCAATAATATGATTGAGAATATAAAGGAAGTGTATTTGTAGCAGCCTTGGTGCGCACAAGATCAAGTGGATATACGATAGCTGTTGCCAACGCTGCAGCTGATCCACCAGCCAGAAAATTAGTAGCAGGTGTAGGTGTATGTGAATATAAAAGGCGCTCAGAAACTGTTTGAAAAACATCAAACAAACAATAAGTAAGAGCACCATATGGAACTACTCTCATCATTGTAATTCCACCACTCTGCCACATATTTGGACTTTCAACTATCATATTACCCATTAAGGCAATACCTTGACGTCCAAAAGCATGTGGAGCAGAAACACTCATACCCACCTGATACATAATCTTTAAACGATCTAATGGTACAGTCCAAAATTTTGCTACACCAGCAGCGACTCCACCACATACAAAGGCTTCAGGTATTGATAATAGACTTTCGTGATGAGAATGTTGAACAATTTGTTCATTATATTCTCGCATACGTCGTTTAATAATATCATTCACCGTAAATCCTGTTGCAACTGCTATAGGTCCTTTAATCCAATTCATTTGAAGACCTTTATATAATCCTTGAGCAAGACCTTCTTCCTTATAAATACTCCTAAGGGCGTGAAAAACACCACGGTATCGACCAGGAGATACTTGCATACGCCTACGAACGATATCCAATGGATAGGTAGCAGATTGAGCAACAAGACCAGCAAAACCACCTGCTACCATACGTTCATGTACTGTAATTGATTTCTCTGAAGGGAGATTGTGCCATCGAGTAATATAACTTTTTAAAGTTTCAAAAACGGCAAAACTACAACCTGCATATGGCATAATACCTACAAGAGTGGGGACTAAACCAGAATAAAGCGCACGCCAACCATGCGTATTAACAATCATCTTATATGCAATACGGTAACTAGGGACTTGATCATGTATACAACTATGAAAAGCTAATTTCGCTCGCATTAAGTCAAAGGGATAGGTGCAAGCTGTTGCTGTTGCTCCTGCAAGAGAACCACTTAAAAAACGTATCGTTACAACTAAACTTTCTTCTTCAGTTCCATCAGCTCGTTTGCAATTTACAAGACGACGCAATGCTCGATTGTAGTAATCAAAAGTTGCAAAAGTAATAGCAGAATAAGGAACTACCCGCATCATCATCGCACCATGTCCAATCCAAAGACCTAAGATCCCATGTTCTCTCACAGTATCTAGACCTAATTTGATTGCATTTATAATACTAAATCTTCGACCCGAATCAACTTGAAAAATAATCTTCACCCTATCACCTGGGGCTATTACCGTCTTACTGACAGCCCCAGCAACTCCACCTGCTGCAAAATCTTCCAAGAAATGCACAACGCTCTGAGCGAAGCGATGTTTACGACTCACTTCCTCATTATCGGTAATAACACCATCTCCCACAAGACGCCCAAACTCCAAATTTTGCTGGCTTAACGATGCGAATAATTTCTGGTTTTCTTCACAAAAGCGAATCCACTGCTCTTCTGAGAGACCACCTACATTCTCTTCATCAAAACGCTCCACAAGCTCACGAAGTTTATCCTCTGAAAGAGAAACTAATGGTGCTATCTGTTTCACAATAACTTCTGTAGAAACATAAGATGATACAGTTTTTGAAGTATCCGAGGTTAGTTTTTCATTAATATCCTTAACTAGCATTTAATGTTAAACCAATCAACTACAGTAAACACACACAGAGAAAAAAAAAAGAGGGGGGGGGGGGACTCAAATCGATTTATAACTCTAACGTCGCTGTTATAGTGAGAATATCACAGCCACAATAAAGTAGCTTTCTCTCTTTCTTTCTCTCTCTATTTTTTTTTAATTATTATTTCGTCTTAATACGCTCCAAGATCCAGTTCTCCGTTGTTGTTGCTCTTTTTTTTTTTTCACCCCTTTGTTCCTCTTCAACCAAAGAAAAAAAAGAAAGAAAGAAAGAAAAAAAAAAGAATGTAATCTAAGAAAAACTTAAAAAAAAAAAAAAAAAACCTGGGATCTATGAGGATTTCAAGAAATATAGCATATTTATTTTCTCTTCTGCCTTATTTAAAAATAGTACACATCAAGTTCCAGTTAAAAATGTATTACATAGCGTACCACATCTCACGCATTCAAACACCTTCTTCGTCTCCTGACTAAGGAATAAATATATACTTTCAAAGGTAAGAAAGTAGTATCAACTGTGATGACAAATGTCACATTTTTTGTTTTCCGCAAGAAAAGCGATACAACCTATTCTTGACTGACTTCTTTCACTCTCTCTCTCTCTCTCTCATAAGAAAGAAGGAAAAGGGGTAAGGATATATAAAAATAAAAAAAAAAAAAGGACTCAATAGAAACAACATTCCTCTGCGCCCAACTACTCAGCCATAATAATAATGATAAAATCATAAATGCATTCTTATTCCACTTGATCTAGCTTGTCACGTTTTCGTACATAAGAATCAAGTTCAGCCTTGATAGAATGAAATTCTTCTGTGTAATCACGACCTTCTAGACGATAAAGTCGCAATTGCTCTTCAGCTTCATCATACAAGGCTTTTACACGAGCCAATTCTCTACGCATTTTTTTAAGCTCAATTTGATTAGAACATTCTTCTTCTGATAATGTAACATTACTTGATATACTACGCTGCCAACAACTATGCATATTTGCAACATACGCATCAACTTCACGCAAAGTAGGAACTACAGAAAGTCCTTGAGCTAATGCTTTTTGAGATGTCAATCGAGGCAACACTTCTCGTCTAATCATTAGTGGAGGCTCGTATTCTTCTATTTTTTTCCAATAAGCAGTTTCAGATGATGCATCAACTCCATGAGGTGTTTCAGTAACAAAGGTCTGTCGATCTCGTGTAGTTTTTTCACGAGAAATAGAAATTTTCTTTTGTGGTTCAAAAGGAGCTAAAATATGTTGTGTTACAGGGTCATAAAAATTTTTTACCCAATCCATTTGTGGGAAACGTGACATTAATCCACCAATTAATTGTGAAGTTGTAAGAAGAATCCCTTCATCTGAACCATCAAATCCCGCACTTCCTTGACATTTATTCTCTACATGAACAACAGCTACAGCATCTGAAGAAGGATCACGGAGAAACACTGGAAAAATAAGCAAACTTGAAGTAGTACGTGTTGTATCCATAATTTGTTGATTTAAAGCAATTCCACTACCTAAAACTTCAGCGTCAAGAGATCCTAAACACCTGTGACGAACTAACTGTGGTGGAAAAGAAAGTTTTGCGCTGCAATTTGCAATAGAGATCATTTCATCATCTTTGCGAATAAAAATATGAGAAGTAGAAGCCTTCAATAATCTTGTCGCACCTTCAAGAATATTATACAATGTACAAGCTAAACAACGTGAAACCTCTTTTGAAACTGCTAAATATCCCTGTGGAACTTTATCCCTGGGCACTGGAAACGCACTAATACTTGAGGGTTTCGTAACTACAGGTTTTCTTTTTTGCACTGTATACATTTGCCCCGGAGACTGTCTTAATTGTGGAATCAGTTCGGGTAAACCATCAGCTCGTCTAGGACGTTCCTTTTCTGTCGAATCCTTTGGAATTAGTTTCCCCTCACTACAAATATTAGCAATAAGATCAGTAGCACGACGCATTCTATCAGTCAAAGGTGTCACTTGATCGGGACGCAGTGGATGATCACCTTTTGAAAGAGTGTCAAGAACATCTGCAAGAAGTCTCAATTCTTCCAACTGTTCATTAAGAGTTGAGGTCATAACCCTTTTTTTTTTTTGTTCTTGTCTTGTATTACTATTATTATTTTTATTCTGAACACACTCCTTTACTCACACACAGACCAGAAAAAAAAAAAAAAAAAAAAAATTTTTTTTTTTTTTGTTTTAGTTTTCTTTTCTTTTCTCCTCCCACAAGGAAAGAAGAAGAAAAATACTAACAAATAAACAGATGTAAGAGGGACGGAAGCATATACTTTTGACAGTTGAAGGGAAAAAAAAAAACAAGTAAAAAAAGATAAAAATAAATAATGATGCGCCCAATACTTATCTAAGAGATTCTTGGTTTTCATTTTCTCAATAGAAAAAATGTTTTCTTTCGCTACATACTTGTACTTGTGCACGCTAACATTCACATTCAACCCTATGAAAAAAAAGCAGGTTTAAACTGAGCTATAATTATAGTCATATTATCGCATCCTACTCCTTGTGCCCTCGGAGCCAGACATTTATCTAGTACCATTTCACAAACCAGACCAATATCACCGTCAGTTTCTTTTAAACCTTTTTTAATGAGGTCACAGGCATCTTGATTAGAAAGAACATCCCATACACCATCACAAGCAATAACAATAAAATCATCATCCGGTGATGATTTTAATTGAACTATATCTGGTAAAGCTGTAACCATTTGCTCATCCCAAGGAAGTTCAACATTTTCTTTAAAGTCAAAATCACCAATTGCTCGGCTAAGAGCAAGAGTACCATTTACACGTTGACATTGAACAGTTCCTCCTGCTTTTTCTATCCTTTCCTTTTCAATAGCAACTGAGGGTTTATGATCAGTACTTAAGGGAATAGCTTTGGTTCCTCGACATAAAACAGCTCGGCTATCACCAGCATTAGCACAGACAATTTCACCTTTAGACAACAGTACACATATAACAGCAGTTCCGCCTTCTGAGCGAAGTGCAGGCATTTCCGAGAGTTTTGAATCCAAAGATCTAAAAGATTCCTTGAATGCTTCTTCGTATTTTCCCTCCCGGTATTGTGGTGCGGACATAAGTTCATCAAGAAGATGTCCACTACAATATTTCGCAATTTTATGTCCATTATGTCCATCAAATACACCAAAAAATGCATGATGTTTATTTCCATCAAGATTCAGCTGAGCCACATGGGCATCTTCCATCGATTTTCGCCAACCTTGCATCCCACAACATCCTACTCGTAGATGAGATGTTTCAAAGGTGCTGGTGTGTTTTTCCGTCACGGGTTTGGACAGTGTATCGCCCATTTCCTTTCTTACAAATGAGAAAAAAAAAAAAATAAAAACAAAGAAATACATTCATTGAGAAAAAAAAATTCATTATTTATGGGAAAAAAAAGAAAAAAAAAAGGAACCCATCAAATATTGAAAAACAAAAATAGAAATATATATATATATATATATATATATATACAGCAAAAATTTTTTTTCGTTTACTCTGCAAAAAAAAAAAAAACTTAAGATCACCAAAGGGGAAAAAAGGAAAAAAAAACAACAATAAAAAAACTAGTCTTCATCTGAAAAATCCTGCAGTTCATGAAATCTTCCAAGAGCACCAGAAAGAGTGGTTGACTGACCCCGATCACTTAATTTAGAAGTAAATCCCACAAATACAGCCTGATCTTCTCTAGACACAGTAACAAGAGGTTGTTTCTGAATGGCCGCATTGTCAGCAGCGGGTTCAAAATACTGCTGATCCCTTGCATGAGTTATCTCGACAGAAAAAGGAGCCTTTTCATGACGAATTCTGTCAGTAGTAGGGAGCCCAGTGAAAAAAGGATGTCGTATAATTTCTTCAAAACCGTAACGATCTTCAGGTCCTGCAATCAAATGAGAAATTAAATCAACAGCTTCAGGTGATATAGATTCTGATCCCTGAGGAAACTCCAGGTATTGTTTAAAATGAACAATTTTCTTTGCCGTTCCAGTTCGACTATCATTAAAGAAAGGTGGATAACCGCAAAGCATTTCATATAAAATTATACCAACACTCCACCAATCGCAAGAATAACTATACCCTTGTCCAAGAAGAACTTCAGGTGCAATATAAGCAGGAGATCCAACTGTAGAAAAAAACAATACTCTCCTTTCTTTCTTATCTTTAAACCGTTTTGTAATGTCAACACCATCTTCTTCTACTTCTTCAAAATTGGATCGGCACAAATCATCTAGCCATTGTGGATCCCTTTTCGATAATCCAAAATCAGCTAGTTTTATATGACCATCCCGATCAATAAGAATATTGTCTGGCTTTACATCTCTATGAACATATCCCATTTTGTGTAGAGAGTTCAAAGCCAAAACCAACTCCATTATATAAAACTTTGCTGTACTTTCAGAAAATATATCATGTCGGATAAGCCAAGAAATCATATCACCTCCAGAACAATATTCAGTAACTATATATAAAAAATCAGGATCCTGAAAAGTTACTACTAGATCAGTAATCCATGGAGAACTTACTTTTTTAAGCCTAGATTTAGCATCTGATAAAAGGTCACGTTCTGTATGAATATTAAGAGTTTGTTGTCTCTGTACAATCAAATCTTTCCGAATTTTTTTCATCGCATAAATTAAATCAGGTTCATCTGGTCTCCAGCACTGGTATACCTCAGCAAACGAACCTCTACCTATTATATCGCCAATAGTAAATTCATCAGCAGTATGTTTTTTCTGTCGAGCATGTGAGTGTTCTATCGCAAAGGTTTTTTTATCCCGCATCATTCCAAGAACATAATATTCCCCGGTATATTTTTTCGCCACGACAACCTTCTCATCGGTTCCCACCTTGGATTTCCCTTCCTCCGACATTATTTACTGTGTTCTTCAACAAGCTTCTCAATAGACGCTTTTGAGGAGAAGAAAAAGAAAAAAAAAGAAAAAGAAAGAAAAAGAAAAAAAAGAGCATAGAAAACAAATATACATATATTTATATACAAAATAAAATGCACCACAATATATAAATTTATATAACTACAAAAGAATTTCTTGCAAAAAAAAAAAAAATAGTAATAAATAAAAAGGATATCCATGCTTACTAGCGATATTGATTATTTCATAGCAATTTTTTCAACTTTCGCTGCTTAGCCTTCTTTGTATTAACTGCGGTAGATTTTTGAGCTTCACGTCGTTTGGAATGTCGTACTTTCAAACTCTCTTTGAGTTCTTTTTGAACACTTGGATTTGCCCAATCCAAGAAAGAAGCTTTTCTCATATGTGATGGAAGGTGCATAAGCCTAACACTTGAACCCTTTATAAAAACACGACATTCTACAGAAAGTGATGAATCGCGATGTTGACACCGAACATCGCTTAGTTCAACATCCCCATTATCCATATCAAATCTGGAAAGCTTACCCATGTACATAGAGCCTTCAACCGTTTCCACCTTAACAAAAAGCCCTGTAGCGTCAAGAACAGCAAAAGAAGGGGTATCTCGACCCTCCGTCATTCTAGTTTTTTTTTTTTTGTTTGTATTTCGCCTAAGACCTTTGTTACCTTTAAGAGGAAAAATAAGAATAAAGATAAATAGCTCACACAAAAAAGAAAAAAAAAAAACGGACATAGAAGATTGAAGACCGCCGCTGGTCGCACTATAGGGCAGGGCAAAGAAAATAAAAAGGGTGTCATATGATACACAAAAAAATTCCTCAGCATTCCAGTCCAAAAAATAAAAATTAAAATAAATAAATTAAAAAAAATTTTTTTTTTAAACGTCACGTCTCTTCTCCCAATAGAGCAAGCGAAAATATCTTTTCATATATATATAAATATATTATTATTATTATTATTATTATTATTATTATTATTATTATTTACTGTTGTTATTTTTTTTATTTGCTTTTATTGCTGTTATTTATTATCATTATTCTTTTTAACATTTGTTCCTTTTTTTTTTTATTTTTACCGCGGCACGCTCGAAACACAGATGTCCCAAAGAATCTCGCAAATGGCGGGGAACGAATTTGTTTAGCTACCCAGGCCCGCCCCGGCAGCGAAATCCAATTTCAACCACGGGAAAGTATAACTGTTACTATTTCTTGGAGCCTTCGCCCCACCAGAGCGGAATTCGAAGAATGGTAAAGTATGCCAAAAAAAAAAAAATAATAATAACAATATAATAATGATAAATAAATAAAAAACAACGCTGCCGAGAAGGCCCCGGTGCGTTCCCCAGGAACTTCTCGAATAAAACTTTTTTTTTTTTTTTTCCCAGTGCGGAACGGCTGGTCCCCGCTAATGCTCGACGCTTTTCACTTGCAAACCGTAACGCCCCTCAGAAGGAAACGCCGTTCGACCACGGCCCGCTTCGCCAGAGAATGCGAGGAAATGGGTCGTGAAATCGCCTTTTGGTGGTGATGTGCCCGAAAGTGCTGCCATTACCAAGAACGCTCGTGTCAAAATAAAGTTTTTGTTTTTTTAATTTAATTTTTTTTTTTTTTTTTTTTTGGGGGGGGGGGGGGGGCGTTGACGCCCTCGAACTTCTCCTACTTGATTTTTGTTTCCTTTAATGGATTCAATCAACCGAACCCGACGTTGCGAAAAGGAAAATAAAAGGAAAAACAAAAATACACTCTGAGATCTTTGGGCGGCGGCGGGCGGCGATCGTCAAAATTGTTTTTGTGATGGTGGTGGCCGGTTTGCCCGTTACTGTTGGCGTTGGCGTTGGCGGCGGTGGCGCGTTCTCCGTCCTTGCATTTTTAACGTGGGGGGCGGTCTCGCCCGACCGCGGTTCCGGCGGGCCCACGCGCCGTGGCTCATAATTTTATTTTATTTTTTTGGTTGCCCGTGTGCGTTTGTATTGTGTTTTTATCGGTTGTTTATTTACATTTGTTTTTCTTTATTTTTTTTATTTTTTTTATTTTGGTTTTTTTGGCGCGGCGCGTTTTTAGTAAAGAATAGGATTACCGGCGGTGGTTGGTAAGTTTTCTTTATTTTATTACGTAGAATGTCTTCAACTTCTTCTTCTGCTTCTGAAGGATCTGGAGAAGTGGTTTACCGTGATAGTACGGAATTACTTTACGCAGAAGTGGTAGTGTCTCTGGCAACTGCTGTTGGTCTCATCGTTTTGACGGTAATTCAACTTCTTTACCGTACTACACGTCGAGCACGACGATTATGGAGAGGTGAAAATCAAGTTAGATTTGATGGGGTTCATTTTTTAAACAAAAGTGAAGGAAACATTGGTAGAAAAATTATTGAAAGTGGTTTAAAAGAACATGAAAATAAAGAATTTAGGCCGCCTTCTGTTATTTTACCTGCAATTATTTCTAATGAACGAGATGCTAGGGCTGATTGCCTACTAATGCTTCACGAGATAAGAAAAATATTTTACAAACAATACGGTAATTGTGCTAATCTTATGTCAATGCGCTGTTGCTTATCATGTGTAGAAGGTGTTTTGCCTTTAGCTCAAACGGAAGATTTTTTGCGTGTTTTTGAATCAGTCTTATTTGGTCAGCATCGAGTAGATGGAAATGCAGATATTGTTTCCAATGATGATATTAAATTTATGCATGCTTTTTTCCACAATACAATATTAAAGGAAATTCAATAATTTGTACTATCAGATGTATATTTTAAGAAAAAAAAAAGAACTCTGTATTTTTATTTATTGCTACAACTAGGTTAAATAAAAAATTTTTCCTAGCAATACCAGAACATTTGAATTTTCTACTACGTTGTATTTTTTTTTTATTTTATTTTTTCTTTTTATTAAAAAAAAAAACATTTCTGTGTTTGATATCGTAGTTTTTTTTTTTTCTGTTTGTGTTTTCTTTTATATGTGTATATAGTTTATTTTCCAAGTAAATGAGCGTCACGGTCAAGCTATCAAATGGTACTCAAAAGACCATTGAAATTCCGGATTTGGGCATAACTGTTGCAAAGTTTAAAGAAATGGCTGCAGCTGCTACTGAAATTCCAGCTGAAGAGCAAAGAGTTGTACTACGAGGCAGGGTTTTAAAGGATGGAGATATTCTTTCTGCTGTGGGTATGGAACACGGACAGGCACTTCATATTGTAAGAGGAAAAAGTACTGCTAAAGCTACTACTTCATCTACAACTACACAATCTACAGCAGAATCATCAGGACAACAAACAAGTTCTAATTCACAGACCAGATCTGAGGGCAATAACCCATATATGAGTTTAGCTGGTAGCCAACCTCCAACTGGTGGGGCTCCAATGAACAGTTTTATGAACCCTGGATTAGGATTTCAAATGTCTCCTGAACATACGGTACAAATGTTACAAAATCCTGTTTTTTCTCAATATGTTCAAGAAATGATGGGAAATCCACAACTTATGCAACAACTTATGCAGGGAATGTCCTCGGGACAAACAGATAATTCACATATGGGTATGCAATCTGTTTTAAATAATCCTGTTCTTCTACAACATACGATGCAATTAATGAGTAATCCAGCATTTATGCAACAAATGATGCAAATGATGAACAGTGGGTCACCTGGTCAGAATTCTCCTTTTTTGGGTCAAACAAATACTCAGTTACCTAATCCACTTATGAGTGCTGGATTTCCTTCCCAACAGGGTGATCCTCGAGTTATTTATCAATCTCAGCTTCAACAATTAAGGGAAATGGGATTTCCAAATGAAGAAGCTAATCTTGCAGCCTTGCAACAAGCCCAGGGTAATCTCGATTTTGCCATTGAAAGACTCCTTAACGCGTAATAAACGCGTAAAATGTTTCTATATGTAGGGATTCTTCTTTCATTTCTTCTTTTTCAAGAAAAAAAAAAAGTATATTAGGCTTTAATTGTTTTCTTTTTTTTT